ACCCCCACTACCTCCGACACGCCTCCGACGCACCCCCTACACACCTCCGAGGCTCCCGTGCGAGCAGGCTTGCGACGCGCCCCTCCTCTACGAGCGCGGCTGGGGCAAGAAGCTCTCGTACGTCTTCTCCTTCGGGGCCCACGAGTGCGTCGACGTCGCGCGCCGCTACTCGGCCTCGTGGAGCAAGACGCTCGCGCGGCTGTGAACAGCGTCTCTTCACACCTCCTGCTGTGAACAGGCCTCGTGGAGCAAGACGCTCGCGCGGCGCAACTCGGTGCCTCGCCCGCATCACAGCCTCCGCTGTCACCTCCGCTGTCACCTCGGCTGCACCTCGCCCGCATCACAGCCTCCGCTGTCACCTCCGCTGTCACCTCGGCTGCATCTCGGCTGCACCTCGGCTGTCACCTCGGCTGCACCTCGGCTGTATCGGCTGCCGGGCCACCGGCTGTGCTGGACGTGTCTGTGTCATGCCCGTGACGTGTCCGTGGCATGCTCCTCGCAGGTGCCCGAGGGCTGGCTCGAGGTCACCGTCGCGTCGCTCAACGCGTCGAGGCAGGCGCTGCTGCCCGGACCGGCGAGGGCCGACCTCGCGGAGCGGGCTCGCCTCGAGCAGCAGCAGCTGGCTGCGCTGGACGTCGACCGCTCGAGGGCGTCGCTCTCCGAGGCGGAGAAGAAGGGGCGGCAGACCGGGGCGGTCGAGTGGCGGCGGAGGCGGGGCGAGCTCGGCGAGGCGGCGGCCCCCGGCGGCGAGGGCGGCGGGGAGGGCTCGCCGGCCGGCGGGGCGGTGGTGCGCGTGTGCGGCGCTGTCGGCTCGGTGGCGCGGGCTGTGGTGTCTGCTCGGGTCTGAGGGGCATGTCCGCGACGCGTCCCGGCCCCGGCCTGCTCAGGTGGTGCACGGGTTCGTGTTCGAGTTCGAAGGGGGAGGGCGGGCCGGCGCCTGTCTCGAGAACTCGCAGGACCGGATGGCGCTCGGCGACGACGCCGGGCTGCTGCGGCGGGAGGGGCGGTGGGAGGGTCTGCGGCCGGGGGAGCGGATCACTCGCGTCTCGGGCGCCGCCTCGACGATCGGCTACCTCGCCGCCAAGGTGAGCCTCTCGCTGAGCAGCGGCCGGAGCATCACCTTCTCCGGCGTGGACGCCGACTCCACCTCCGCCGCGCCGTTCGACTTTGAGGCGCAGAGCTTGCCCTCGGCATGTCCCTGGATATGCCCCTGGATATGCCCCTGGATATGCCCCTGGATATGCCCCTGGATATGCCCCTGGATATGCCCCTGGATATGCCCCTGGATATGCCCCGGGATATGCCCCGGGATATGCCCCGGGATATGCCCCTGGATATGCCCCTGGATATGTCGGTGACGTGTCCACGGCACGACCCGCGCAGGTTCCGGACGGAGCAGAGCTCGTCGACTGCTCCTTTGCCGACGGCACGCTGGCCGGGATCGTCGTTGCGCCGCGCGATTCCGCCACCGCCACCGCCACCGCCACCGCCACCGCCACCGCCACCGCAGCACAGCCCGCCTCGCATCTGACCGCCGTTGCGAGTGCGGTCGGTCTGCTTGAGGGGCATCGCGAGGCCCTCGCGACTGCGGTCAAGGTCGTGAGCAACATCCTGTCCCACCCGGGCGAGCATAAGTACCGCCGCCTGCGCCTGACCAACGCGGCGCTGCAGCAGAAGCTGCTCGGCCGTACTGGCGGCGAGGCGCTGCTGCTGCGAGGCCTCGGGAGGGACGTGTCCATGACGTGTCCCTCTACCCTTCTCCGACACGTCCCCTAGGCGCTCCTGCGCGGCCTCGGCTTCGTGCGCCAGCAGGGAGAGCTGGGGGCTGAGCTCGTCCTGCGCGGAGACGACCTCGAGGCCGAGATCTCGCCGAGATGTAGCCGAGATGTAGCCGAGATGTAGCCGAGGTATAGCCGAGATTACGAGTCCTGCCGGAGGCGAGGCGGTCCGCGGGGTCCAAGGCGCCGCTGGAGAGGTGGCGTGACTGCGTCTGCGAGCAGGCGCTGCACGTGGGCAAGGCGCTGCTCGACGAGGCGCTCTCCGCGGCGGTCGCCGACGAGGCGCGGCCTCGCGGCGTGACTAACTCTAACTCTAACCCTAACCCAACCCTAAACCCAACACTAGGCGCGGCCTCGCGGCGTAACGCAGCTTGCAGACCTGGCCGCCTGGGCGCGGGCCATGTCGGCGGCCGGCGAGCGGCTCGTGGTGGTCGACTTCACCGCGTCCTGGTGCGGGCCTTGCCGGCGGATCGCGCCCGTCTTCGCGAGCTTGGCGCAGGAGATGCCGGAGGTGGATTTCGTGAAGGTCGACGTGGACGAGGCCCAGGACGTGGCGCAGATGTGCGGCGTCCGCGCCATGCCCACTTTCCAGTTTTACCGGCGCGGCTCCAAGCTCGGCGAGGTGTCCGGGGCCAACGAGGCGGCGCTCCGGGCGGCGATTGCGCAGCACAGGGCGTAAGCCGTAGGCGCGCGCCATATCCGTGAGAAGCCGAGCGCAAGGATCCAGTAATCACCGGCGCTCCGGAGAGCAATGTTCGGTTCGTTGGTTTTTGAATTGCCTCAAGTGAAAATTATGCATGGTGCAGTTTTTCCGAATTTACAATTTTGTCCCACGTCCACGACCTGTGCGCTGGACGCTGGACCTGGAGCCCCGCCCCTGGTGCACGAGCTGCATCGCATGTGTGTACGGCTTTATGTAGAGCGGCTCGCTCTAGTAGAGGCAAGAGGGCGCCACACACCAGTCACCACAGCGTCCTAATGCTAATAGTATTACGATTGCTAATCTAAAATCCGAGGATTAAGCATTCAGAGGCATCGCTTTATAGTGAGGCCAAAGTGTAAGTGAGTTTATGGATGCTTGTGAAGCTCCGGGGTGAGAACGATGCGCGACACGGGGAGAGGCACGCGGACCGACTCGTCGGCGACTTTGCACTTGCCACTTGGAGCACTTGGAGTGCAGTCGTGCAGTCATCAACCTCACGCTCGACTGCACTTGGAGCACTTGGAGTGCAGTTAGTAACCTCACATCCAGGGCCGGGGAGCTCGTAAGAAGCGCACCCAGCGGGCCGGATGATCGATATCGGGTTACGGGCTAGAGAGCCCTAGCCCTGGCGCCTGGGGGGGTGCGCATTCGCAGGGAAAGGGCCGTAAAGTAAACACAGGTCTCCGAGGGTTGGTTCTGCGCGCTTTGGGTGTCCCCGCCTAGCGGCGGAATGCCCCCTCTACTCGGAGCTAGTAAACACCGGTAAAATGTTTTCTTTCTTTTTCTACTCGGAGCCAGTGATACGAGAATACGCACATGTTACGAGAATACACACCGCCCCCACGGAATACCTGCACTACTCGACGATAATACAAGAATACGCAGCTTGGAAGTTGCAGACGCCTATAAAGAAAAACAGCAAGCTAAATTTCGGCGGCTAAAAAGCAAAGGACGGGCGCTTTTGATCGGCAAAGGAAAGTTGGAGTAACGGCGACCGCGTGTTCGCAATGAAGTCGCCTGTCGAGCAGCTTCCGCGGCGCGCATGCGCCGCGTGGTTTTGCGCAACAGCCAGCGTGCCCAACCACCCCCCGGGACCCCACCACCCGTGTCCCAAAGTGAGAATTCCTATTGCAGCCGGGCGGGGTCGCCGGAGATGTGGCTGCCTGTCCGCTGTCAAAGAAAGAAAAAGAAAACGACACGGCAAGGGAGGGATGGGAGGACGGCACGCCGCCACACAGGGATTTTAAGGAGAGGAGTGTGGTGGCCGTCGCCCACCCTTGGGCGTCTACCACTTCCTACCTATCTCTCTTCGCAGTTTCTCGCTAATTATCGCAGCGAGCTTCATGCCACCTCGCGGTCGTCCCACTTCTCGTCGTTCTCTCTCAACCCCTGCCTAGACGAGTACAGCTAAAGGGGGGGGCCCGTGAACATCTTCAGCTTGTGAGCCCAGGGAAAGGGTGGGTTGGTTCGCTCTCCTGTCGCCTCCTCCTCTGTCTCGTCGCTCTCCCGAAAGGCCGGCCTCAACTTTCTTTTTGACCCGGTTTTTGAGGGGCCGCCGCGAGAGAGAAAGGATTACGACCGAAGATCGCGAGAGCAAATCACCACGATCGAGAAAAAGAAATCGGAGGCGAGAGTACAAGCAGCTAGCCGTCTTTTTACCAGGTTGCAACACCTGTTCCGCACTGTGCTGTGAATCGAGCGGCAACCAACAGCTCTCAGGACCCCCCGGTGCTGGGGTGCTGCCAGCAACCAACCAACTCACCGGCGAGCGGAGCGAGCCGAAGAGCTGGGGCCGAATTGGCGCTGTGAACGTCGTTTGAACCGATGTTTCGGCGGGCACGTCGCACCTACGTGGCCGGCCGCCAGGGCCGGCAGCAGGGCGCCCCCGCGCGGATGCCGACGAGGATCACGGTGCGCTATCTGGGCTCGGAGGTCGGCAAAAAGGTCGCGCGACCCGACACCAAGGGGGAGTTGCTCGAGCTGGCCGCCAAGAGGCTCAACTTATCTACGCCGGCCTTGCGCATCTTTGCGGAGGGCGGTGACGAGTACGATGGAGACGAAGATGTTGTCTTGATCGAGAGTGACGAGATCATCTACGTCTCGTGCGGCGAAGACTTCGGCTCGACGGCTCCGACCGGGGCGCCGTCCGCCCCGCCTGCTGCTGCTGCTCCAGCTCCAACTCCTCCTACTGCGCCTCAGCCCGCCGTCCTGCCCTCCCTCACTGGTGAGAGAGAGAGAGAGAGAATTCTTGATACGCTCTCTCTCTCTCCTCACTGGTCTGTTCATTGGGGGGGGTCATAAACAAACACGGTACAGGATCGAGGTGTACGCTGCTGAAGCGTGCACCTACATATAGTGCGGGACCTGGGGCAGCAACCAACAACCTGGATGGGGACGGGGTGCTGCTCAACCGGCGGCAACCAGCAGCGTTCACAGCAGTGTGCGGAACAGGCGTTGCAACCTGGTGTAAGACGGCTCGCAGAGAGACACTTCGGTGCTGTCCGGCGAGATCGTGCGTGATGCACCGGCTCAGCCCGGTGGCGCGCATTGCGTCGTGGCGCTCAGTCCCGGGCATCGACGTTGAGCTTCATCTGACGCCATGCATCGTCACGTTCCCGCCGCACGCCGGCTGCAGCGCCTTGGTCAACCCGGCCAACGAAAGGCTCGAGGGCACGCGCTTCACGCCGGGCGAGTGCGCAGACAGGCTGGCGCCAGGAACCACGGCGCTGTACCCGCCGCAGGCTGTCGATGGCATTGTGCACGGCGCCCGCGGCGGCGACTCGAGCGCAGACGACTCGTCCGGCGCGTCGCTGCTGGCGGCGGCGCTCTCCGCGCTGCCGGTCGTAGTCGGCGACGACATCCGCTGCCCGACAGGCCAGGCCGTGGCGACGGCGGCTCACGGCGAGCTCTCCGACTGCTACGACGAGATCATCCACTGCGTGCCGCCCTTCTACGCCTCGCCGCAGTGGCGCCCGCTCCTCCTCTCCGCCTACGCCAACGCACTGCGGCTGGCAACGTCCCGCGGCGCACACTCGATCGCGGTCCCGCTCCTCGGCGCAGGCGCTCGCGGCGCGCCAGCCGCGGCGGCGGCAGAGGTGGTCGCCGAGGCGCTGAGCCGATGGCGTGCGCCAGAGGCGGGCTGTCGGCGAACAAAGGTGTGCATCGGAGTGGTGGACGATGCGGTCGCGTCTGCGGTGGTGCAGGCAGCGGATGCCGAGATGGAGAGGACCAGGGCGGGAGGAGAGGGATGACGACATGGAGTATCTGTTCGTCAACCCTGTCCTCACCGCCGACCGTTGCAGATCTTCATCACACTGTTTAAAGTGTGTGTTTACAGAGTTACCAAACTCAGTTGGAACTTGGATGCACAAAGAGTGGCCGGACGACGGCTCGAAGGGAAAGCGATCACAAAGAAAGTGAAATGCAAGTCGCGAAGTGTGGGAGAACAAAAGTGAGCACAACACACTCTCTCTGTCTCTCGCGACTGTGGAGTGCTGCGGTGATGCGGGGTGTCTTATGTGTAAGGCAGGCGATAAATATTGAATATATTGCTCCAATAGTTAGAGAGGCGATCAATATCAATATAGTTAGAGGAGAGGCTGGGCCTGGGCTGGTCAGGACCGTCAGGTGGGTCCATCCTGGGCTTGAAAGTGGCTCTAAATCGTTAAAAACGGGCCAAAATCGCTTCGAAATCGCTTAAACCGCATTAAAAATCGCCTTGAACTCGCGATTTTTTCGATTTCAGCCCACATCTAGGCAATGTTTGGGACAAATGTCGACATTGGTGCTTTTGGAGGTTAATCAGCGATCAATATGTCAATATATTGTCAATAGTTAGAGGGGATGCTGTCAATAATCAATATCAATAGTTACAGGGGCGAGAATCAATATTTATCGCCTGCCTTACTTATGTGTCTCTAGGGTCTAGCGCCCGGGGGTGTCCGCGCGCCGAGACGCCGAAGGTAATATACACATCGGGCGGGGGTGCGCTGCCCTGCGCAGCACAGCTATGAACAGACCGCTCTACCACTCGCCGAAAGAAGAAAGGTCGCGGCCGAGGCCGGCTGGCCGCAGTCCGCATCATTCTTTTGTGCTGTGAGAGAGGTTTAGTTTTAAGAATTCTTTTGGGCACAGCGTCTGCCTCCGTGTACCCTTCGTCGGTGCTGCCTGTGTCTCAAAAGCTGGTCGGCCGTCGCAAGCCGTACGTGCCAGAAACACAAGAACGCGGTGCCGGTGCATGCCGCCTCGGCAGCAGCGGCGGAGCTACGTGCGTGCTCTGCCCGACAACACCGGTGACGGGTACGACAACAGTGGCGGCAGCCGCTGGCCCTGGCCACGCCAGCTCAAAGGCGACCCAGAAGACAGAGTTGACGAGACCCAGGGCGAAGACCCAGAAGGTAGCCGCAGAGGTGACAGCCGGGAGTTAGTCATTGCTGACAACGGTGGTGCACGAGGCGCAGCCGACAGTGGCGGTGCTGGCGGTGGAGGCGGACGAGGAGACGACAGCGGTTGCGAGGCGGCTGGCGGGCGGAGTGCGTGCTGCGCGGCCAATCTGCGTGCGCTATGGGCGACGTTCCTGCTCAACACCGTCTTCACGTTTGCGCAGGTCATCGGCGCGACCGCGGCTAACTCGTTGGCACTGCTGGGCGACACGGGCACGATGTTCGTCGACAGCGTCACGTACGCGATCAACATCTTTGCGGAGCTCAACAAGCACCGGTTCGAGACGCACTCACTCGAGATCGGTGCGTCTCTCTTCTCTGTGGCGGCGCTGTGCACCGTGACGGCGTTCGTCATGCGGGACGCCATCGGCCGGCTCTCTCGGTCTCGGGGCGGCGAGGCCGGCTCGGGCGAGGGGTCGGGCGAGGTGGAGGGGGAGGTGGAGGGGGAGGAGGTCGACCCCATCATCATGCTCACCTTCACGTGCTTCAACTTGCTGGTCGACTTTGGCATGTTTGCCTCGATCCTGTTGCGGCGACGCGGCGGCGGCGGCGGCTCCGCCTGCTGCCTTTGCCCGTACTTCCTCCGGCCCGCCCCGCCGAATGCCGCCGCGAGCGACGAGCTCCAAGACGAGGCAGCGGAGGGCGGCGCGGGCGCGGGCGGCGCTGCTGGCGGCGCGGCAGCGGAGGACGCGGCCGCGCTCAATCTAAACATGTGCTCTGCGCTCGCGCACGTCGTCGCGGACACGATGCGCACGCTCACAGTGATGGGGTGCGCCCTGCTCGTCGCGTTTTGCGGGTACGACGCTGAGCACACCGACGCGATGGGATCGCTGCTGGTGTGCTGCATCGTGCTCGCCATCGCCGCGTACATCTCCTTCGAGGCCACCGCCGAGCTGCACGCGCACCGCCGGCGCGCGCGCGCCGAAGCCGGCGGCGCGCTGCAGCTGGCGCGGAGCGAGGCGATGCCGAGAATCGTGGAAGAGTGTTGAGTGAGCAGTGAGTCTTGAAAACGGACTTGTTTATAAAAAATCTTTCCCACCTAGGCGGGACGGTGTGGTGTGTGTGTGTTTGTTTGTTGTGTGTGTGTAAATAAATAAATAAAACGGTCTCACCAAACGAGGGGTGGGTCCCGGCGCGGCTTGGTTTTTCTTGCCGCGAGACGGCTGCAAAATTGCCGGCTGCGGCTGGTCTGCCCCTGGCGAGTAGAGGCCCCGCCCACCGAGAGAGAGAGAGAATTCTTGATACGAAACCACGACGACACACACCAGTCGACTCGCATCGGTTGCCTCCATGAACGGCGGAGCTATTCTCGCGCCCACACCACACCTGGCTCCAACGTGGACACGCCCATAGCTGGGGACACTACTAGGTCACGCATGGCATCACAGAAGTTTTATCTCTGGGCCCCGAAAGGCATCTCTAGCAGTGTCGTTACACATGCCCCCTCCCCTCCTGGGCGCATGCGCCTCACGTCTCGCCAGAGCATAAGCCCTTGGCGTGTGGCGAGACGAGTTTTTCGCCATGCAGCGAGCAGCAAGCCGCCCGCCGCAAACAGCCGGAGGCATCGCCACGGCACTGACTGCGCCGCGCTCCCGCACCCGTCGACGAAGCTCCCCCCGCGGAAGACCGCGCGTAGCGACGCCTTGTCGATCGAGATGGGCGCGCCTGAAGCTCTCTCTCTCTCTCTCTCTCTCTCTCTCTCTCTCCCCGCCCACCCAGGGTACCCTCTCCGAGGACCGATCTGGTTGCTCTTCGAGGACTCGCCGGCGACTCTGCTCCAAGAGCGTGCGTGTGCCTCTACTCGCCAGGGTCTGCCCACCACCGACTCGCTGGGCCCCAGAGTTGCCTGGCTGTGCTCGAGACATGTCGCGATTGTTGTGCTCCTGCTGCCGATCGCTCTGGCAGCCGGCATGCAGCTGCCGCGGCGCGGTGTCCTCGCGGCGGCAGTAGGACTCGACTTGCAGCGGCTCGCGGTGCCTCCAGCCTTTGCGGCGCCTCCGATGTACGACCCCTCGATTTCGGTCTACGCGATTCTTCAGGCGCAGCGTACTACGCAGCGGCTGCTTGCGGACGAGGACACCTTCCGCACGATGGTCGCCATCGGGCTGCCAACCGGCTCGCTACAGATGCCGCCGCAGCTTCTCTTTTCCTCCTTCAAGAAGCTGGAGGATACGGTCTCCGACCCGGGCGCATTTATGGACGCCGCCATCGAGTACGTGGAGTACACGCGAGACGCCAACGACCTCGTGCGCGCTCGCCACCTCTATCACATCGCCCGCAGTGCTCATCTCTCCCGCCACTAGCCACCCGACCCGTGCGAAGCGCTCGCCACCGATCCTCGCCGCCGGTTCGCGTGTAGGTGGAGCTGGCTGCGCTGGATCGAAAAAACGGCGACCCGAACGACCCTCGCACCGCGATTGCCGTGCAGGACCACCTCGACCGCTCGATGGTCGCCGCCCGCGGTGCGGCGAAGGCGCTTGACAAAATGGTGCCCCTGCTCGGACCCGTAGCGGGTCCTGCCAGCATGAAGTAAGGTAAAGAAAGAAAGAAAGAAAACAGACAACCCAAGGGAGGGATGGGAGGACGGCACGCCGCCACCTCACAGGGATTTTAAGGAGAGGTGTGTGGTGCGCTATGAAGTAAGGTAGCCTGGAGATACGGGACCAAATTCTTTTTCTGCCCGCTGTCCCGGTGTTGACTTGATGTCGGCGCCGGCGAGAAGCCCTCACTGTTCAGCACAACAGCAATGGGCGCCCGCTTCACGGCCCTGCTTCTCGTCGGGGCGGCGTCGCTGATGATCCTCGCCAGCTCCATGTTCGGCAGCAGCAGCAGCGGGGCCGGCCGCATCGTGCACGTGACAGAGCGCGGCGTGGCAGCGGCGCGGCAACAGCAGCTGGCTGCCACCGCCGCCGGCTCCCGGAGCCGGCTCACAAACCTCGCGGAGGCGGCGCCCGGTGGCGGCGGCGCTGCAGCGCCACCACTGGCTACCGCGACCGCGTCAGCCGCGTCGCCCGAGCGGCCGGCGGCCAGAGGTGCGCTGGACGGGTCTCTGGAGGCTGCGCTCCGCGTGGCGGTGCCCGGCGAGGCGCCCGGGTTCGTGATGGCCTCGTTCGCCAACTCCGCGCTCAACGACCACCTCGTCAACTTTGTGCTCTGCGCGGTGCGCGCCCGCGCGCCGTTTGTGATTGGCGCCGTCGACCAGGCCGCCTTCACGATGCTCTCTGCGCGGCGAGACGCGCCGACGTACGTCACTCCGATGGCCAAGGAGGGGGCGTCGCTCGACGGGTCGAACCAGCACTCGAGCGGCTCGTGGAAGCGCTTCGCCGGCATGCGGACGGGCGAGGTGCTGCAGCTGCGTGCAGCCGTCTCGGAGGGGGGCGGGAGCTGCCTGCTGTAGGCATGCGGACGGGCGAGGTGCTGCGGATGGTGCGGCTGGGCTACTCAGTGCTGCACACGGACATCGACGTCGTCTGGCTCCGCTCGCCAGAGCCGTACCTCATGTGCTCGGGGGAAGCGTCCCGGCCAGGCGGCGAGCACGGGCCGGGCTCTCGCTTCGAGTGCGGCCCGCTGCTCTCTGCCGACGTCGCCGTCTCGTCGGACAACATGTCTCCCGGCAGAGACACGGAGGGTGGTTATTATTATTATTAATATTATTATTATTATTATTATTATTATGTCTCCCGGCAGAGACACGGAGGGTGGCTAACCCTAACCCTAACCCTAACCCTAACCCTAACCCTAACCCTAACCCTAACCCTAACCCTAACCCTAACAACATGTCTCCCGGCAGAGACACGGAGGGTGGGCGGCTCGCTCTGGGCGGTGCCGTGTCCTGGACATGTCCACCACCCGTCCCCCGACCCGTCCCCCGGCACGCCCCGCAGGCCGCGCGTCCTACTCTGCGGGCGGAACCTTCAACACGGGCGCGACCCTCCTCCTCCCCTCTCCTCCCCCTCCGCCCCGGCCACGGGAGACAGCCACGGGAGACAGCCCTCCCGGACCCCTCCCGGACCCCTCCCGGACCCCTCCCGGACCCCTCCCGGACCCCTCCCGGACCCCTCCCGGACCCCTCCCGGACCCCTCCCGGACCCCTCCCGGACCCCTCCCGGACCCCTCCCGGACCCCTCCCGGCCCCCTCCCGGCACCTTCCCGCAGGCATCCTCTTCCTCCGCCCGACCGTCAAGGGCCGCGCCTTCGCCGAGGAGTGGCACTCCCTAGACACTTCCTAGACACTTCCTCGACACTTCCTGTAGGCCGCGCCTTCGCCGAGGAGTGGCATGCCAACGTGGTCTCGCCGCCGCCAGGCTCGCGGTACGTCTCCCTCACGTCGGACCAGCAGGACCGCCGAGAGGCTGCCGAGAGGCTGCCGAGAGGCTGCCGAGAGGCTGCCGGGATGCATACGAGAAGCAGGCTGGGCACAGGCGAGATGCAGCCCGAGGCACAGCCAGCCCCTCCCCCTCCCGCAGGTCTTCAACCACATGATGCGCAAGCCGCGCCAGTGGCCGGGCGTGGACGCGCCGCACGGCGCCGCCTCGCGCCTCGGCCGGGGCCCGCGGCAGCCCACTCGCGCCGACCCTCCCCCCCCCCCTCTGTCGGCAGGCTCCGCGGTGATGCGAGAGGCGTGGGACGGCGGCCGAGTGACGCTCGGCTCGCTGCCCCTCGCCCTCTTCCTCAACGGGCACGGCTACTTCGTCCAGCGCGCCGACCTGCGCCTCAAGGACCTCCGCCCTCCGCACCGCCCTCCCGCCCGCCCCTGGCCCCGACCCCGGCCCCTTGGACCGCAGGTGTCCCCCTTTGCGGTGCACGCAACCTACTCGCTGGACAACCACGACGGCGTCGCCAAGCGGCGCGCGCCCCATTTCGGGAGAGGCGACACGCACAGAGGATAGACCCGCCGCCGTCCCACACTTTAGGCAGCGCTTCCGCGAGGCTGCGCTCTGGGCAGCCGACCCGCCTCCACGCCCCGAGGCTCGCTACCTCGCCCTCAACTTCTCGACGCCGCCGCTCGTCCAGACGAAGATCGACAAGTACGGCCGCGCCAACGCGGCGAACATCGACGTGCACAGCGCGGCGCTCAACGCGTACGTCGCGGAGCTGCGCGACGCGCTCGCCCTCGCCCGCGCCCTCGGCCGCACGCTCGTGCTGCCGCGCTGGACCTGCTGGCGCGGCGGGGCGCGGGCCGGCTCCCCTCCCCTCCCCCCCCCCCGGCTCCTCACCTGTGCCTCTTTCCTCCCTCCCTCCCTCCCTCCCTCCCTCCCCTCCCTCTCCCTCCCTCTCTCCAGGTGCGACCGGATGTGGTCTGGCTCGGACGACATCTTCCACTTTGGATGCATGTACCCCGGCTCGCAGGACGGCAAGTTCGTTCCCTTCGCCTGCCCGATGGACCACGTCCTCTCGCCCGCCGCCTGGGCAAAGGCGGAGGTCGACTACCGCGACGCCGCCATCCTCGACCAGCCGCAGCTGCGCGCGAGCGGTGCCGTCGTCGACGTCGGCCTCGAGCCGCGGCCGGGCTGGACGCGGAAGGCGGGCAGTCTGCCGCTCGGCACCAGCGCGGCGGAGGCGCGCGAGCTGCTGAAGCCGCTCGCGGCGACGCCGGTGCTGAGGCTGCCGCACGCGCGCGGGCTCCTCTGCTCCATCGACGACGCCGCCGCTTTCAACTCGCTTGCCGACAAGCTGCTCCGCATCCCGACGTGGTGCGCGAAGTGCTTCCAGCCGTGCAGCAAGGAGCTCGCCGGGTGGCTGCCCGCCGAGGAGATCCGGCGCGGCGGGGGCTGGGACAAGATGTCCTACTGCATGAAGGTCGACGTGCCGCCCAAGTTCGACGCGGGCGGCGCGTGCTCGCTAAACGTGCAGCCGTGAGGGGATGACGGGTCTCTGGAGTTTCGTGTTGATCGTGGGTTTCACGAGCGCTGTGGTGTGCACAGGGGTATGTGATGCACACGTGCTGTTCAGGCTTATCACCCATTTTTGACAGCAGTAAAGTGAGAGCCACAGGAGAACGGCAGTCTCGTGACACGACGTGAGAGCAGAGAGAGGATATGTGATATAAAAGCGCACCCAGCCACGCACCGGGCCTTGCACTTTCCAAACGAGGGATGGGGGAGGAGGACAGGGTCCCCACCTGCACGAGCAGGCTTTCCACTACTAGGCCGGTCGCTCCCCCGTCTTGCAAGTCCATTGCTTTTGCGTAACGGATTTCTGTTTCAAGGCGCGCGGGCGACGTGCAGAAGCCGTCCGTCGCCCCCACCACAGGAGCAGTCACACCAGTCACCACTCCAACTCCGGCGCCCGCCAATAATTAAAATTTTCAGTCCAGTCGGTGATCGGAGGCGGTGGGGCAGGTGGGGGCGGGGGCGCGGGCGCCGTTGCTCGTCTTGGCCCTCCTCTCGGCCGCCTGCTGCCTGGCCGCCTTGTCATTACCGAATGTGTGTGTCTGTAGGTAGGTAGGTAGGTAGAAAGGTGAAGAACAGCCAGGCTCGGACTGGACACCAACGCGGTATGGGTGGACGCGTCTGTGTCGCTCGAGCAGAGAAAGAAAGAAAGAAAACATACAACCCAAGGGAGGGATGGGAGAACGGCACGCCGCCACCACACAGGGATTTTAAGGAGAGGAGTGTGATGCGCTAGCCGTCGCCCACCCTGGGGAGTCTGCCTCTTCGTATCTCTTTTCGCAGTCTCTCGCCGCTTCTCGCTGCAACCTTCATGCCACCTCGCGGCCGTCCCACTCTCGTCGTTCTCTCCCTTGTCACTTCCTCCTCTGTCGCGTCGTTCTCTTCTGCCTCGTCCTGCGGCGCCGCCGCCTGCCGGTCCCTTGTTCTCGCGGCTTCTTTCGCCTGTGTCGTCGTCATCAGCCCCGCTTTTTCTTACGCAGAGAACAGTTGCGCTATCGAAGCAGCGTTCGACAGGATGCACCGCGACACCGTCGGCGCGCTCGTCCTCTTCGCCGCTTGTATTCGCTGGCTGTCCAACATCTTCTTCATCTTCCCCGCGCTGCAGCTGCACGAACGGCAGTCCTCCGAGGCCGCGCTGCGGATGAGCGCCCTACAAGGGCAGGTGGTGGCTGTCTTGGGCGAGATTGCCTGGACTGCGCTGCACCCTCACGCAGTCTCCTCGCGTGCGGCTGCTCTGGGCGCCCTCTGTAGCGCGGCTGCCATCGTCGCGAGCGTCGCCACCGCGTTTGGCGCGCTGGACGCGCCCGAGGAGCTGCTTCTTCCGCTGCAGTGTGTCAACGTGCTAGCCTTCGTGCCAGCAGCGCAGTGGGGCGCACTCTCCACGCTTTCCACAGGCCTGTCCCCTGCCCGCTACAAGATCACGGCCTGGCTCGTGGTGATGGGATTCGGCACCGCGCAGCTCGCACTGCCACCGATGGCGTTTCCGGCGGCCGCCGTCACAATTCTCGCCGCCCTACCGACGCTCTCCGTGGCCCTCGCGCTGTGGCAAATGGAGGATGCGGCCGCTTCGCCGACCGCTTCGCTGGACAAAGCAGCTCGAGCTCCACCAGTCGAGCGCTGCCGTCAGCGCGAGGCGCTCATCTTTGTGGGCTTCGCCTGCGGCACTGGCACTCTGGGAGAGGCCATCAACGACATGGCTTGCGACCTCCGCCTCCGCGACGCTCTCGCGAGTGGCGACCGAGCGCTCGGCCTGGCGTACAACGCCGCGGTGATGGTCGCCATGTGCGCGGCCATGATCACTGAGACGCGGCCTAGGGCCGGGAAGGGCGCGTCACACGCGCCGTCGCCGTCGGCGCGCATCCGGCTAATGGCTCTGTGGGCGGGGAACCAGCTCTTTCGCGGCGCCTTCCTCGTTTACCTAACGCAGGAGCGGCTGTGGCTGATGATGCTCTTTGTCCTGTCTGACAAGTGCGCGGCAGAGGCGGGAGAGGAGAGAGAGAGAGGAGATGCCGCGCTTGTGATGCGGCCGAGACCGGGCACGAGTGACGCCATCGCGGTCCGACACCCTCCCCGACCCTGCGCTTAGGTACGCCGGGCTCCTCGCCTCGGGCTCTCTTGACGACGCGCTGATTGCACTGCTGCGCCGGGGCGAGGCCGCCGCTACCGCCGCCGCCGCAACCGCCGTCGCAACCGCCGTCTCCGACGCCGTGCAGGTCTCTCGAAAGGCGGGGTTCGGATCGCGCCGCAGTGGGCGAGGGCACGCAGCCTCAGCGGCGGCAGACGCGGCGGCGCGCGGTGGCGGCGGCGATGGCGGCGGCGATGGCGGCGATGGCGGCGATGGTGGCGGCGGCGGCGGCGGCGGCAGCGGCGGTGCGGCCGCTCTCCCTAAGTTGGCGAGTTGGCAGCCGAGCTCGCAGCTGCTGTGGTCGCTGCGCGGCGCGGCGGAGCGACTCGAGCGGCCAGTCTGCCAGATGATCATGCTCTCGTTCCAGACGTGGCGAGTTCTAGCCGAGATTGTCCGAGATTGTCCAAGTTCGGCGGACTCCTCTCCAACTCCAACTCCATCTCCAACTCGTCCACAGGCGCGGAGGGCGCGCGGGCGAAGGGACACCTTGGTGGCTGCCGGCCGTCTTTGCCTATGCGAGCCTCGCGTTTGTGCGCGCAAGCCTCGGCGCGAGGGCCGGAGGGGGCGGCGAGGTGGGGTTGCGGCGGCCGCCGACACCCTCGGCGAGCGGGCAGACAGCGGCGGAGGCTCTCAGCATGCCCACGGCCGTCGGGCAGGACGAGAACGGCGGCGAGATGTATCTCGTCAGCCACCTCGTCGCCGCGCGGACGGTCAAGGGCCAGCGGCAGTACCTGGTGCACTGGCTCGGCTGGCCAGAGGAGGAGAGGACGTGGGAGGACGCGGCGAGCATCCACGACGCGCGTTTGATCGACGACCTCCGCAGGCGCGGCGCTAGGCTGAGTTCGTCGCCCGCTCGGCGCTCGCCGGAGCCCTTGAAGCCCCGCTCCAAGCAGAGCCCGCCGCGGCGCGAGCCAGCAAGCAGGCCCCGCCGCCGTCCATCCATGCTGTCTACGTTTCGGGGCGAACTCTGAGCGAGCATGAAGCCGCGTGCTCAGCGCGTGCTGCGCCTGGGCGAGAGCGCGATAACCGGTTTGCTACGTACAGTAATTTGTCTCACATTCGTCGTTATTGTGGTGAGGCTTAGTGAGGGGTTCGCTGGAAGTATGGAAGGCGCTGTGGAGCCATCGATGTGTGGAGCGGACATTATGCGAGAAAAACACTTCTCGTGTCTCGAGACGAACAATCAATTCACGGCTCTATGGCAGAAAAACAGAAATAATCACCGGCTGCTCTCGGGGCACCTCTCCTCCTCGCGCGCATCGCGCGCCACCGACACCTGCTCCCAGCTCCCCCGCCGAGAGCGCGAACCGGCGATGCTCGGATGGGCATGAGCGATGAGGCGTCGAAGCGATGTGGCGAAGGCGGCCCTCTCGCCCCCGCCTCCGCACGGTGGCTCTTCTCACCCAACGTGCAGCCCCCACTCTACTCGAAGTGAATCCCTTCTATTTCCCTCCCACGCACCGGAGCCATCCACTGGGGACGCAGGGGACGATGGGCCACCCCTCCATCGAAACGGGCTGGCCCAACACGAGAGGAGCATCGAAAGTTGATCTCGGCGAGGAGAGGCCGCCTGCTGTTTCGGCCGCCGAGAGGCGATCCAAGATAGTACCGGTGCTCACCGCACCAAAGAGCGTCCCCTCGATGGCCTCAAGTCTCTGGATCAGCGTGAGACCGCCACTCGTCAGCCCAAGCTCCCGCTCGCACGCGGCCAAGCGTTCACATGGGGGAGCGACGGTAGGCACCAAAGTCGCCCAGCTCTTGCTCACTTTGATCTTCTTGATGTGGCGTTCCCAGCCAGGTGGCGCGCTGTCAGCCATCCACTGAATGACGCGGCAGATGTCAAAAACACCAACCTCGGCTAGCGATGCCACGATGTTCGCGGTTGTGAGCATTGGCGGGAGCTTGAAGCAGGTCGGGTGACAGGTCAGAAATTCGGCGCAGCCAGCCTTCTGTATCAAAAGGTCTCTGATGTCCTTCTTCTGCTCCTCCACACTGGCCCTGAAGGCGGCGATGTCGCCGCCGTGGCGAGTGACGAGCCACTCATCGGCGCGGTGCATGCACAAAAGGACGCGAGGCTGGATCATGCCGTTTGCCTCTGCGACGGCCTTGAGAAGGTTAATCGTCTCGCGAACGTGCGCCTTCGGCCCGTCAGCCAGAATCACGAGCATATCGACAGCGCTACTGCCGCGCGCAAATAAACCCTCGAGCGCCCCGAGGTCGTCGACTCCAGGGAAGTCCATGATGTTGACGCCCGGGGCATCCTTGTTTTCATAGGTATGGACGGTGTGAGTGTGACAGGACTTGCCCTCTCCGGCAGCAGTGTCCTTTCCGCTCAGCTCAGCGACGAGCGTGGACTTGCCCAGGCGCGCGGTCCCGATAATGCCGATCGAGTAGTGCTTCGCGAGAAGCTTCCACAGCGAGTGGTTCAGGGCAGCAAGTCGCATCTTGTTCCAGAATGATTCGCGTGCCGTCGTGGTCTTCACACCAAAGCCGACCGCGTCTTCACTCAGCTTGTCCAGGGCGTCGGTCAGGTCTGGCAGAGGCTTTGTCTTGCTAATCCTCTTTATGTCATCGTACTCCTGGAGGATGAGATCGCTTTCCACGCCCTTGCTGAGCTTCTGCATGATGTCCGCCAGCTTCGCTTGGTTGCCAAATGCGTCGCCCGCCGAATCGCCACCAACGAGTACGAGTGCAAGGCTCAGGAAGCCCTGCCAGCATGCCACCTCCTTGTCGGTTGTCTTGGCAAACCAGTAGGCGTAGCCGTTCATGTAGAGGCGAGGATCGAAGAATCGACCGCCGTCCCGAAATGCCTCGCTGGCCGTCGCCCCGTTGGCGAGGTGTAGCGCAGCAACGGCAGCTGCAGCCGCACTTGCGGCTACAACAGTCAGAGGTGTTCCTATGCCCATGAACACGCCGAGGCCCATGAAAGTGCCACCGAGGTTGCGTCCCAGCGAGCTCTCGAGGTCCAGGGCAATCGGCAGTTCGCGAGAGTTCATCGTGGCGAGCACGGCGGCACAGACAACGTCTGCCATTCGAAGCGCGACGTCGAGCTCAAGCTTGCCGTCGAGAAGTTTCGACATGATGACAGACGGCAGGAATGGGGAGCCTTTTGGGAAGAGGTTCACGAGGCACCGGCCCACGCACCCAGTCGCAAGACCCTCTAAGAATGGCATGACCTTCCCGATCGTGATCATTGCCTTGCCCGAAAGCTCGAACCAACCCTTGATGTTGTCGACCGTCTCCTGCGTGAGAGCGGCGCGCGCCAACGCGGTGGCAACCTCCTCGACTTCGAGCGCCGAACAGAGCTCGAACGCAAAGTTGCGCACCTCTTGCTTGCACTCCTCGGCGGGGAAGCCCTTGAGGGACTCGCGCAACACCTCGATCTCCTCCAGTGGCGAATCCGCAAGACGGTCGAGCCGCGCGAGCTTCGCCATTGCATCGAGCGTCATCATGGTCTGCTCAAGCCAATCGCGCTGCGCATCGTCTAGCCCAGAGAGAGGGTCGCTGCCGTCCCGCGTGAGCGTCCGATAGCTGCTGCAAAGCAGCATCGCGCGGCGGCAGAGCATCTGGTAGCAGTTGGCCACTGACGCGCCGGCAAAGCGCTCGATCAGGTGCAGCTCTTCCTCACTCGGCGCCTCGTGCGTCGACGTGTCAGGTTTGGGGGGCGGAAGGGTCACCGGCCTCTCCAAGTGCACCAAGGAGCTCACCAGGATGACCTGCTTGTCAAGCGCGCTGAGCGGCAACTCAGAACGCCATCGGCATCTTTTCGCCATCGGCATCCTTCCACGTCGTCACATGAAGGCTCCGTCTCGCGAAGAGACGTCGGTGCCGTCGACGCGGATGCGCTCAACGAGGTCGAGATTGGTGCCACGCACGAGGACCGTCATGCTGGTGTATGAACGGACGGTCTCTATTGCGTCGACGCTCGGGATCAAGAACGAGCTGAGCTCACTCTCGCTCGCGATCTTTGCGAGACTCGGCACCGCCTTGCAGAAGTTGTTGGGGAATCCCGTGACTGCCGCAAGGTCAGCTTGATGTTGTGTCGCTCAAGATTGTCCTCCACCCGTGACGAGACATCAGGTGGCGAAAGGATCTTTGGGACTTGCCCCGGCTGCAGCATGTCCATTTTGTCGCTTGGCTTGTTGATCACGTACATGTGACCAAACGGGAAGGCTGGCGGCAGCAGAGTGTTTTGTGCGCCCCTTTCGATCGCGCCTTTGAGGAGTCCAGCCAACGCCTTCGAGACCTCCTTGACCGCCATAGAGCCCGGAGCGAGCGCCTGCAGGCCGGACACTCCAGCGTTCCACACGCCGTCCCACATCTGTTTGATTTTCTCACGGGCCTCCTTGTTGTGAGTGACGGAGCACTGGAACAGCTGAAGCGCGAGGGGCACGGGGTCCTGCTCAGCAACAACCATATGGAAATGCTTGCCCATCTCGCGAGACATGATGGTCCGTGCAAACTCCTGGTCCGCGACCAGAGGCTGTGCGAAGGTGATGCACTTGATGAGGTCGTGCTTGTCCTTCTGCAGAACCTCACGCCGTAGCAGAATCGAGGTGGCCAAGCACGCAACGGCGCCGCCCAGACTGTGGCCGGTGAGCACCACGCGCTTGTCCTGCTCGAGTAGGCAGGCGATGGCGCGGAGGGGCGTGCTCTCCGCCCGGCTGGCGAACCCGCGATGGCACTTGCCACCCTCCGTCTGCGCAGAAGCAACCACGTTGGCATCGGCAAGCACGTCCGCCATGTCTTGTGTGCCTCGGAATGCAAAGTAGTAGACGGACTGGTCCGCGTTTGCCGCAACGATGTACTGCTGCGGGTGCAGTTTGTTGCCTGCCCGCACAAAACCGAGCCCATGGTTGAGGGATGTTTTGGACATGCCGCGCAAAGCCTCCATCGGATCCGTCTTGTAGGTCAGCATTGACGCCAGACACGCGTTGATCATGTCGTCTCCCAGGTCGGCGACGATGCTGCGGCGCAGCTTGTTGCGCTGGTCTTCGCGCTGGTCCACCTTGGGTTGGTTGGTGCAAATGGTTTTTATGCCTTTTGGTGTTGGCATGTAGGTAAACTCCTTCCGGATTGCCGGCAAGTCAGCACGCACAAGTTGCGCCTCGACCTCTTGGCTCTCCTCGAACTTGGGCTCAACGTGATCACCAAGCCCGAGAAGTGTCTGCTGACAGCCGCGCAGCCTGCGGACTGCGAGTTGCCCATGGCCTGCGGCGGCTGGAAGCGGAAGACGGGCGGCGGCTCGGGAGGTGTAACAAACAAGGCGGAACGCGCCCTTGAGCACCGGCGCCCGTGCTTTGTCCGTCATCAAACGAGGCGGGGCATTGGTGCATTGGGCACGGCGGCTTTGTCTTTTTTGTATTTTGAGTCCACGAGAGGACGGTAAAGGAAACGAGTGCGCAGCGCACGCGCTGTCGTCGAGACTCAGCGCCGCAGCTCGGCTCCGAGTGCACAGGCCTCGCCCGTCTGCCTGGATGGATGCTGGATCGTGGATGGATGGACGAGAGGACGTGCATGGGCAGCCAAAAAAAAGTGAAATCGATCGCCGCTGGAGGCGCATGTTGGCATGTTGCTCGCTACACACCATTCAATATTTAATTATTAAAAGTAGGCGCGCCCACCATACTAGACACTCCCTCATCCCTGGAGCACTTGCCGCCGCCCGCTACTCGAGCAAGCGCAGATTGAGCATGGCCTGCTCTCCGTCGAGCCCCGCCATTTCAAGCGTCGTCTCGCCCCCCCCTCGCCGGCGCGCGACACGTAGGGGGAACCCCTCGCGCCGGGAACGAGAAAGGTTCGTTGGGCAAAAGAGCATCGCGTTGTGCGCATACCAGTGGCAGCCATGATCGAACAGCCAAACGTGGATTCGCGCAAGGGTGAGGGCCAATGAGAGCATCGTGTTGCTTCGGAAACCCTCGGAAAGGCGTCGGTGAACAGATCGCTACTCGCGAGCGTGCTCGCCCCATTCAAAACGACCGTAGTGGTCGGCTACCGCATCTTCTTCGACTGGATACTCTCCGTGATCCGGGAATCAACATATCAGGCCGGACGGGACATGGATGCTGTCAACAAGAGCATGCTTGAGAGCTTGCCCTTATCACGCTCGCTACATGCTATGGTCATCTGTAAAGTATATGGAAGATGTGCCCTGGAAAAAGTATACTATGGAGAATCCACTGTCTACCGCTCCTGCGATTACTTTACGGATTGCAGGGCAAGATCCATATACTTCACAGATGACGTCATGCGTGCCTATGCGCAGCATTTTGACGACACCCGCCTCCTGCCGATTGGTTCGCATATGGTTAAGACCTTTGTCTGCTCCTTCATGAGTGCGCCTCTAACTTGCGCCTCTCTGCACAAGAGGCCAGCCAAGATGATGAACGTGAGGGCGCTGCCGCCTCCTCCTCCTCCTACATCGGGACTGGACGCTGGATTGTGCGCCTCTCCGGGTGGTTGCGTTCATCCGGATGTTCGCAACATGCTGCTTGCCCGTGCCTACAGCAGTGCGATGGAACTCGCGCCGTTCCTCACCCTCCAGCTAAATGAGACCGAACTGGGCATTCGGTTGGACGCCCTTGGCCTGTGCTTTTGTGCACCGCGGCGGAAGCCGGATCCTGCTCCGCGCCTGCGGGCTCCGACTCCAGGTCGATCGCATGGGCCCTCCCCGTGGCGTCACGCTGTTCCCAAGCCGCCCTCGTAGGGGTCGCTTAGGCGGCTCCCGTGTGGTGTACATGTGTCCGTGTGCGAGCTCTAGAATTTTAGCAAAGACAAGTAGGTAGGTAGGTAGAAAGGTGAAGAACAGCCAGGCTCGGACTGGACACCAACGCGGTATGGGTGGACGCTTGACAGATGATGACGAGCCGTATAGCAAAAAGAAAGCCGGGGCCGCGCCCTCCCTTCCCTCGCGCTCAAAGCTGGAGAAGGCAGCCGTTTGACGACAAGCCGGCACTTCGCCTCTGCACGCCTCTTCATCGCCCATGGACGCCACCTTCCGCGAGGCCCTGCTCACCGCCCCCGACGAGGGCTTCTCCCTCTGGGCCACCGGCGACCGCGCCTCGCCCGAGTGCGAGCAGCTCGTCGCGATCGCCGAGTCGCTTCCGCTTCCCACGCTGGTGGCGGCCCATGCCGCGCTCGCCTCGGCGGCTTCGGCGGCGGAGCCGGTGTGGCGCGAGCTCGGCGCCGCCGGCGTGACGGTCGGCGCGTTTCTGGGCGTCACGTCGTCGCTCATGGCGAGTTCCGATGCCGACGTCGCCGCCACCGCCGCCGCAATCTATCTTGCGGGCGCGCGGTGCGCTGGCGCTGTCCCGTTCGGCGTGCTCAACCCGATGGCCGCCTTCGAGCTCTCCAAGGCGGTGCGCACCGAGGCCTTCACGCGGCTGCGCGGCGCCGAGGCTGCGCCGCCGGCAAAGTCAGCCGGCCGCAAGTGCGTCGGGTCTCCCTGCCCTCACTTTCCCCACGCCCTGCCCAACCGCACCGTCCTCCCTTCCTTCCAGGCGCGCCAAGCCGGCGGCGAACGAGGACTGCGACTCGGACGAGGAGGGCGGCTTCGGCGGCAGCGCCAGGGCCGAGACGCGTGCCCTCGTCGCTCGCGAGCTCGTGCTGCTGCTCGAGCAGGCGGCCCCGCCCCCACCGGCCCTCGCCCCACGTAGCCCCACCCCCACCGGCCCTAGCCCCACCCCCACCGGCCCTCCCTCGCCCTCACCGCCCCTCCCTCGCCCCCACTGCCGTCTCTTCCCTCCCCCGCGCCTCTCCCGCACCCCACGCCCCTCCCGCCCCCGCAGGTCCCGCTCCGCGCCCACTCCGAGGTCCTCGCCCAGCTCGTCGCCGCGCTGGTCGGCGCTGCGGTCAGCTCGGCGCATGGAGGCAGGCGGGCGGCCCGCGCCGGCAAGGCCTGCGGCGGCCACTTCGAGGCACTCTCCCTCTGCCTCCGCCCCGAGCACGGCGAGCCGGGCGCGACTGCGCCGCTCGTGATGCGCTCGCTGCTGCCTCACCTCTCCCTCTCCCCGAGCGGAGGCTCTGGCACCGCCGCCCGCGAGGAGGCGATCTCGGCCACATCACCTGCCGCTACCCTTCCCCGGAAGCCTTCCTGCAGGCTCCGCCGCCGCCGGCAAGGAGGCGATCGCGGCGCAGGCGGCTTGCGTCGACTTTGTCGTCTCGGCCGCCGCCGCCGCCGCGCCCGCCGAAGGTTCTCCAGCGGACGAGGCGGCGCGCTCGCTGCTGCTCTCCATCCAGGCGCTGCTCCAGCGAGTCGCCCTCGCAGCGCCGGACCGCGCCGAGCCGCGCGCCGCCGTCTGCGGGAGCGTCGCCCGCCTGCTGCGCGGCCTCCCCCCCGCGGTGACGTCGCGCTACTCTCGGTTCGTCTGGCGGCTGGCGCACGTCGCGAAGGTCGGCGCGCGCACCGTCGCCGTCGAGATCGCGGCCGCGATCCTCGAGCTCGGCGCCGAGGGCTGCGACGCCGCCCTCGCCGCGGAGGACGCGCCGCAGACTCTGTGGAGGCTGCTGCTGCTGCGCGCGTCCGACAAGGCGCCGGGTGTGCGCGCAAAGGCGGTCGGCTGCGTCGGCCGTGGCCTGTCCACGACAGGTCCGTGACGGGGCTAGCGCATGTCCGACAGGCGGTCGGCTGCCTCTCCTCGCTGATCGCCGCCTTGCACACCCCCGCCGGAGCGCGCCTCCTCGCCCTCGTGCAGCAGCCGCCCGCCCTCGCCGCAGCGTCGCCCGGCGGCGCCACCCCCGCCCTCCCCTCGCCACTCGACGCGATGCCTCCGCCGCCGCCGCGCCGCGACTCGGAGGGCGGCCGCTCCTCGATCGGCAGCGCTGGTACCCCCGCCGCCGCGACTCCGGGCGGCGACGCCTCGCCCTCCGCCTCGCTCGTCTCCGCCGCAAAGATGGAGGTGTGGCGCCCTCCTTCCGCCGCCCTCCCCCCCCCCCCCCCACACCCACCCACTCACCTCCCCCCCCCGGGCCAGGCGTCGCTCGCCTCGGTCGCGTCGCTGCTGCAGTCGCGCTGCGCCGACGAGCGGCCTGCCGTCCGGCGTGCCGCCCTCGGAGCCATCGAGGCGTACGGCCTTTCGAGCAGGACATGTCCGAGACATGTCCGAGACACGTCCGAGACACGTCCCATAGGCGTACGGCCTCGCGAGCAGCGACGGCCTCTCGCCCGCCGCACTCGCTGCGGTGGAGGAGCGATGCCGGGACGCCTCGCCCCTCATCCGCAAGCAAGCGGCGAAGTGCCTCGCCGCCCTGCTCGCCGCGCGGCCCTCGTCCCCCGCCGAGCGGCGCGCGTGGATCGACGGCTCCCTCCCTCTCTGCCGCGACTCGGAGGCATATCTCCCCATATCTCCCCATATCTCCCCATATCTCCCTCCCTCTCTGCCGCGACTCGGAGGCGGCGGCTGTGTCGAGCCGCCACCCCGCCAGCCCCTTCGCACACCCCGCTCACGCGCGCTCGGGTCGGCTCGCCAGGCGTCGGTCAGGCATATCTCCCCATATCTCCCCATATCTCCCCATATCTCCCTCCCTCTCTGCCGCGACTCGGAGGCGGCGGCTGTGTCGAGCCGCCACCCCGCCAGCCCCTTCGCACACCCCGCTCACGCGCGCTCGGGTCGGCTCGCCAGGCGTCGGTCAGGCATATCTCCCCATATCTCCCCATATCTCCCCATATCTCGCCAGGCGTCGGTCAGGCATATCTCCCCATATCTCCCCATATCTCCCCATATCTCCCCATATCTCCCCATATCTCCCTCGCCAGGCGTCGGTCACGGACGCCGCCCTCGACTCCCTCGAGGCGCGCTGCTCCTCCGCCCTCTCGCCACGCCCGGGACACGTCCGGGACACGTCCATGACACGTCCATGACACGTCCATGACACGCCTCCTCAGGAGCTGCTCCTCCGCCCTCTCGCCGCCGCCGAGAAGAAGCCCTCCGAGGCCGCCTCCCTCCCGCTCTGGCCCCTGCTCGAGGACCTCTCCGCCGCCGCCCTCCCCGCGCTGCAGCACGCGCTCGGCGTCCTCGCCGCGCGCGGACGCACGCCGCCCGCGCTGGCTCGCTCCGTGCAGGTACATCTCGGCCACATCTCGGCTCCATCCCGGCTCCATCTCGGCTACATCTCGGCTCCATCTCGGCTCCATCTCGGCTCCATCTCGGCCGAACGCACATCCCGCTCCGTGCAGGCGCTCCTCTCTCCCTCCGGCGCCGGCTGCGGCGCGGTCCGCCCGCCCCTGTGGGCGATGCTGCTGCAGCTCGCCCAGCAGAAGCCAAAGGGGCGGGAGGCGGTCGACGCAGCGGCCGTGCTGCGCTGCTGGCGGAAGGCTGGCGCGGCGGACCCGGCGGAGGCCGCCGCCGCTCTGCGCGTGCTGCTCTGCCTGGCGCGGCGGGGCGCGCTCGAGGAGGGCGGAGGGAGCTGCAGGGCGAGCTGCTCTGCACGCCACGTCCGTGACCCGTCCACGACACATCCCGCAGGAGGGAGAGCTGGAGGGCGAGCTGAAGGGCGAGCTGCTGTCGAGGCTGCAGCAACCCGACTGCGACACCGAGACGGCGGCGCTGCTCGTGCAGATCTGCTGCGCGCTCGGAGGCGACGGCTGGGCGGAGCCGCTGCGGCACGATCCTGTGCTGGGGGGGCAAGGGCCTCCAGCCGCAAGCCTTGGCGCGAACGCTTGTGACGCCGCTGTAGGCGGGCGTGCGCCGAGACGATCAACGCCGCCGCGGTACTCTTCCCTCACACACACTCGCTCACGACTTCGACCCGCGACGTGAGCTCCTCCCCCCTGCCCCAAGCTCCTTCCCCCTGGCCCCAAGCTCCTCCCCCCTGGCCCAAGCTCCTCCCGCCTGGCCCAAGGTCCTCCCCTTGCCGCGAGCGCGTGCGCGGACCTCACCGCCCGCCTCCCTTCTCCCCCCGCGCAGGTGCAGCGAGCCCTCGTCGTCTACGGCGAGCTGTCCCTCGAGGAGGAGGACGCAGCCGCCTCGGCCGGCTCGCGCGCCTCCGTCTCCGCGTCGACAAAGGCGGTCGTCGCGGCGGCGACTGAGTTTGCGCACGGCGAGTGCGACCCCGCCCTCTCCGCCACCGCCTTCGTCACGCTCGGCAAGCTGTGCATGGGCTCGGCGGCGCTGGCCAAGAAGCTGCTGCCGATGTTTGTCCGCGAGCTCTCGACCAGCCCGCAGTGGGCGGTGCGGAACAACGCGCTCGTCGTGCTCTTCGACCTCGTCAAGGCTGCGCCGCCTCGCCCTCCGCTGCGCTCCCTCCCCTCGCCCTCCCCACCTGCCGCCAGCCCGCAGGCGCACACGGCCCTGCTCGACCGGCACGTCGGCTCGCTCGGGCTGGCGGTGTCGGACGCCTCGCCCGTCGTGCGGCACCAGGCGAGTCTGGGGTAGTAGAAGTAGCTGCTGTCTGCGCTTAGGAGCCGTCTCTGTGCCGCGTCGTCTCGCCTCCGCCGCAGCCCCTCGCCCCGCGGCGTCGCCCCGCGGCTTGCAGCGCACGGCCGCTGCTGCGAGCAGGCGATCCTGCTTCTGACGCAGCTGCTCCTCGAGGACTACGTCAAGTGGCGGCCCTCCCTCCTCCGCGCCTTTTGCCGCTCGCTCGTCGACGCGGAGCCGACGCTGCGCGCGGCCGGCCGCGCTTGCCTCTTCGACATGCTCCTCCCTCGCTCGCCCCACCTCGCGCTGGTGCCCACGCCTAGACACTTCCTAGACACTTCCTAGACACTTCCTCGACACCTCGCGCTGGTTCCCGCGCCGCCCATCGCGCCTCACCCCTCTCGACTCGCACCCTGCCCTCCCGACCCCTCGCGCTGACCTGCCCACCCGCCGCCCTCCCCCGCCCTCCCCCGCCTGCCGCGTGCAGGCCTCCTCTGTGCCCCTCCTCTTCCAGCGCTGCAGGAACCTTCTTGGAACCTTCTTGGAACCTTCCTGCAGGCCTCCTTTGTGCCCCTCCTCTTCCAGCTCAACGGGTGCACCGCGCTGCCCGCGCACGCGACGCCGCTGCCGCGCGACGAGAAGGAGGCGGCTCGAGGGAGGGGAGGAGGCACTCACGGCCTCTCGGAGGGGCGCTGACCTCCCTCCCCTTCCGCCAAAGGCGCTCGACCTATCTGGGGCGGAGCAGCAGCGGCCGCGGCTGCAGATCCTGCGCGCGCTCCTCTCCTCGATGGGCGACGAGCAGCGGCTGCAGGCGACGCCGAAGCTCTGCCACGAGGTGCTGCTGCAGGAACCTTCTTGGAGCCTTCTTGGAACCTTCCTGCAGGCGACGCCGAAGCTCTGCCACGAGGTGCTGCTGCAGGAACCTTCTTGGAGCCTTCTTGGAACCTTCCTGCAGGCGACGGCGAAGCTCTGCCACGAGGTGCTGCTGCAGGAACCTTCTTGGAGCCTTCTTGGAACCTTCCTGCAGGCGACGGCGAAGCTCTGCCACGAGGTGCTCGCGCCCGTCCTCGACGGCGCCCGCCGCCCGCCGCCCGCCGCGCGAGGGGGAGGAGAGGTCCCACGGCGGAGGCGTCGCGCGTAGGCCAAATGGAGCTGTCCGCCGCCGCAGTGCACGCCGTGGTCTCCGACTCGCTGCGCCTTCTCGCGTGCAAGGAGGCCAAGGTGGGCTCCGGGGCGGGCGCCTCCGCCGACGAGCCCGCCGAGGACGGCAACGCGGCGGCGGCGGCGGCGCGCGGCAAGGTCCTCTCGCAGGTGGCGCGCAAGGCGACGGTGGAGGCGATTGTGCCGATCGTGGTCGAGCTCAAGCGGCACCTCGAGGCGGCGCACTCGCCGCTGCTGCGCGACGTCTCCCTCTTCGTGCGCGAGCTGCTGCTAATGAACTAATGAACTAATGAACTAATGAACTAATTAATTAGGTCTCCCTCTTCGTGCGCGAGCTGCTGCGCGACCACAAGCCGCTCCTCGCCGACATCCTCGCGCGCGACAAGCAGCTCGCCACCGAGATCGAGTACGACATGAAGCAGCTCGACCGGCGAGATGCAGCCGAGATGCAGCCGAGATGCAGCCAATTTCGGCCGAGATGCAGCCACGTGCGGCCGAGATGGAGTACGGCATATGCGCCAGCCCGACGCCGCAAAGGGGCGGCGCGTGCTGCCCCCTCTCACCCGGAGGAAGTGTCTAGGAAGTGTCTAGGAAGTGTCTAGGAAGTGTCTGCGGCGCGTGCCGCCCTCCTCTCACCCGCCGCCCCCTTCCCGAGCAGGCGCAGCTCCTCCATGGTCACGCCTGCGCCGCGGGGCCTCCCTCCCCCAGCAGCCGACCAGGCGGCGCGGCGCGACTCGCTCGGCGGCGCTGCGACGCCAAGGCGGCCTTCTTCCAGCGCAAGGGACTCGGCGGGCAGCGTCCCCACGCCGGACCGGATGCGAGGCGCGCTCTCCGTCCCAAAACTGCGCTCGCAGCGCTCGAGCCTCGGCGCGTCCGGAGGCAGTCGCGCCACCGCGCTCGCGCCCTCGGCGCCGAGCCTCGTCAACCGGCAGGGCGGCGGCGGCTCGCCGCCGCCCAAGACGCAGTCCGAGACGCAGTCCGAGACGCAGGACGTCCAGATGGCGTCCCCGTTCCGCGGCCAGCCGCCGCCGCGTGTGTGGAACGTGTGCCCGTCGCCCCAGGCGAAGGGCCTCTTCGACGCGGTCGCGTGAGAGGCCGCGAGGTGGCGCCGACAGCCCCGACGCATAGAGCCAGGGAGGTGGCGCCACGACTGAAGGGGGGGGGGGGGGGGGCATGTGCAGTGAGTGGCCAGGGATGGCGCTAGGAACACGCGACACCGCCTCCCTGCTGTGTACTGAGGCCGTCACTGAGAGGGTTTGACGTCTCTCGTTCCGCTCTCGGCAGACTCCACACAGCCGAGCGCGTCAGCAGCGTCAGCGCGGCGGCCCCGGCGGTGCCGGCGCATCCAGCCCACTCGCTTGCTTTTTTTCGCTCCAATCCTGCGGGGATCTGTCAGTAGACCGGAGGGCTACGAAGCCTTCACACTCCAAGGGGCTGCATCCAGCCAAGAGCCATCACTATTTTGACCATAGCGACCATACACACCCACCTGTGCAGTCTTTCGTTTTCATTTTCTTGCATAAATTTAGCGAGAGCGCCGTAGAGTCTACGTTTTATCTTTTAAGAGGTAGAGTATAGAGAGTATGCCCACGTAGGCCGTAGCCCCCCAAGCCCGTACATGCCGTAAATCGATGTAGGTGCGTAGACCCTACTATTCCGGTGCGTACGTCCTCTAGCTTCTCACGGAGGGCCACGCATGACCACATGAGCGTTCGTGTGAAGCTCAAAGATGCTTGGAGACGCTCACCGCCCCGTGTCCACCCCCCGCGAGGCGCGAGGTGCGGCTATCATCAAGACAGGATGCCGATCGGCGGGCCCGGAGCCACCCAGCAGCGTCAGAGCGCCCCCCCGCTCCCTCGCCTCGTCGGCGATCTCTCGCCGGCAGCGGCGCATCAGCTGTGCGTACCACATCGCCTCGCTCCACGCCCGAAAGGTGCGACGCACCAAGTGCGTGTCGCGCCCTCCCGCAAATTGGGCCAGCAGCGGCCGCAGACGCCTCCGCCTCGCAACCTCGTGCCGCCACCCGCGAAACGCGGACCCTGCGAGCAAGCGCGTCCACTGCGCAATGGTCCGAAGCGCGACGGCGCACAGCGCGGGCCGCGCAGCCAAGCTACTCCGCGCGCGCTGCAAAGCCGCCTGCTCTGAGCGCCGCGCCGCGCGAGCCAAGGCGGCGTGCGAGCGGAGGGCCCGCACGCAAGAGAGGGCCACGCTCTCGAGCCAAGCGACGCGCAGCTGCGACACTGCGGACCGCACAGCCGTTCCTCGGAGCCAGATGCGCAAGTGACGGCGCTCCGATTCGAGGCGCGCCTTGCTGGCGACGCTCTCGCTCGCTAGCCGCATGCGCCGCCGCAAGCTCACGAACAAACGGAGCAGCGGCCACGAGTGCCGCAAGCGCCGCCGGTCGGTCGCTGCAGCCACGGAAGCGGTTGCGAGCACGACTCTCCGCTTCGCCGCCGCCTGGCGGGTCAGGCGGCGCAAGCCTTGCCGCAGCCGCACCCGCCCCACCCGGCTGCGCGCCATCGCCACCGCGGCGGCCTCGCCTCTCCGCCGCGCCGCCGCGTCGGCCCACGCCACGAACGTGCGCGTCGCGACCGAGTGGCGGCGGCGGGCCTCAACCTCGCTGGCCGCCTCGCGCCGGGCCGAGAGAACCGCGGCGGCGCACGCCCAACGAAGGAGCGAGCCTCGCCGCGCCGCAGAGTCGGCTCGCTCGCGGGCGGACTCGGACGCGGCCAGCCGGCGGGCGGCGCGCCCCAACGTGCAGAGTGCCCGTCGCTGCGCCCGCCAGAGGCGGTCCACGCGCCACCGCCTGCGCGCGAGCGGGTGCGCGAGCGCCCTCGCCCCCCACCTCCGCATTAGCCGCCGCAACGCCGCCTGCTCGAGCCGGCCGGCGAGCGCGGCCAGACGCGGGTGAGACTCGACGCGGCGGCGCCGCCTCCTCGCCTCGGCCAGCGACACCCAGCACGCCCACCCGCGCCGCGCCGCAAAGAGCGCGGCGGCGGCCCGCCGCCTGGCGGACGCGGCGGCGTCGGCGGCGAGGGCGACAGCGCGCCGCCTCGCGGCCTCCTCCCACGCGGCGACTGCTGCGCGGAGCAGCCTCCTCGCCCAGAGGCGGCCGGGGCCCGCCTCCAGGGCTGCACACTGCGCCGCGTGCCGGGCGGCGCCTTCTCGACGGCGGGCAACGCCTCGGGCCAGCCTCGGCCACGCCCGCCGCAGCGCGAGGCAGGACACCGCAGCGGCGGACCGGAGCGCCAGCCTCGCGGCGGCGGACCGGGCGGCAGCTGCAGCGCCGGCGGCGGACCTCAGCCGGCGGAGGCTGGCGCCCTTTGCGAAGAGGTGGGCGGCGGCAAGCCGGCGGCGGGCGGCGCCAAGCGAGGCTGCCGCGGCGCACAGCGCCCACAAGTCGTGCCGGCGGCGGAAGGCGAGGGCCAGGCGCTGCCGCTCGTGCCGCTCGGCGGCCGCGCGCGCCGCCGCGAGCAAGGCGCGCAAGCTGCGCCGGGCGAGCAGCACTGCGCACCGGACCGCAGCCTCCCTCGAGGCGGCGGCGCGGGAGGCCCACCTCGAGACAGCCGCCTTGAGTCGATGCCCGTCGGCGCGGCGGGCCAGCGCCCTGCAGGAGGCGAGCTCGGCGAGAGCGGCCGCCCCCTGCGGCCGAGCCAGCAGCGAGGCGCGGTGCCGCTCGCGCGCGGCTGCCGAGCTGCAGCCGTGGCCGTAGCCTCTCCCGATGCCCTGCACTCGGTGTCTCGCCACCCTCCCGCGCCGCCCGACGCTGCTGCCGCCGCCGCCGCCTCCGCCGCTGCCGCCCCCGAGGCCCTCGCGCTCGAGGTGTCGGACGAGCGAGCGGCACGCGTGTCGGCTGAGCAGCTCAAGCGCGCGGCGAGAACGGAGCTCGCGGATGGCAAGGGCAGCGGCCCACACGTGGCGCGGCGACGGCGAGTGCAGCGCCGCCCAGCGCCAGCGCGACCACAGCGCGTAGAAGCGCTCGAACTCGCACCATCGCAGCAGCGCCGCGGCAGCCTCAGGCGGGCGGCTGGCGGCGTGCCACGCGCGGAGTGCGTGGCGCAGTCTCCTCCGCTGCCCACGCACAGCCAAGCGAAGCACGCCCGCCATAGCCTCGAACCCCATGGCCTCCGACCCGACAGCCGCTTCCGCTGGCCCGCGGCGCGCAGCGACGTGGCGCGCAGCAACGTGGCGTGCAGCCTCGTGGCGCGCGACCCCGTCGAGCGGCCTCCTCGGCCTGGGAGTGACGGCTGCGCTCTCGCGACCAGGCGTCAGAGCGTGGCAGCTGGCCGTCGCATGATTGGCCACCTCGCCTTTTGACAACGTTGTCCTGTACCCTCGGGTGGAGCTCGCAGGCTTTGGTGTCGGCGGCGCTGTGGTCATTGCGCTGCGGCTTCCAGAGGTGCACTGCCTGGGCGTGCTGTGGCACGAGCCATTGCGCGTGGCAGAGCCGTGTGGCAGGCGGCAGGCGGGTGAGCGATCAAACAGCGCAGCGTTGTGTGCCGCGTAAGAGGCGGCTGCCGCGAGCGTGTCGCTCACACGCCTGCGGTTGTCTGCAGTCATTCAGCGGTCGCGTCGTGCTGACCACGACGGTGTGCTCCGCCTCGCACGCAGCTGCACCACGACGGTGTGCTCCGCCTCGCAGCGCTTGTGGTTTGAGCACTCCACACACAACAACAACAACAACAACGACCACAGTGGGTTGCGGGCATTAAGACACATCATGTACATGTACATGTCCATGTGCGCTCAAGGGCGAAGGGGGGGACCCCTCGACCGGGGGAGCGTGTGTGTGTGTGTGTGTGTGTGTGTGTGTGTGTGTGTGTGTGTGTGCGTGCGTGTGTGTGTGTGTGTGTGTGTGTGTGTGTGTGTGTGTGTGTGTGTGTGTGTGTGTGTGTGTGACTCACTCACCAGCCAACAAGCGGAGTTGCGTGGCGACTGAGGTTTTCTTTTTATGCCCTCCGGTCGCGGTTCACCCCTCGGCCACACCCTCGGCCACCCCTCGTCCACCCCTCGACAGGGACAGACGGCCATAGTCTGCCGAGTCGCTGACGAGCGCGGTGCTCGTGCCGGAGGGGTCGAGATCCATCCTGGCGACCACCGGGGCCCAGCTACGCGGCGCGCTGGCCGCGCGGGGTCTGCCCCAAAAGCTCCATGCACATGTCGAGGTTTAGGTTAGTAGTGTATTAAAATACTGTGAGGCATATCGGTTCCCTGGGAGCCGCTGAGCGCGGTGCAGGGGGCGAGCCCCCGCTGCGCAGCCTCACCGCAGTGCACTGCGCTCTCCGCGCCCCTGACGATTAGTGAGGAGGTGGTGTTGCACAGCATGGAGCTCGGCGAGCGTTTAGCGAGCTTCTCAGCTAGAAAAATAAAGGCTCCGCATGGGTACAAAGGAGATATTTTTAAGGGGACACAGACATGTCACTCTCCTCATCCCTCTCGCTGTCCCATTCGCTGCCACTACCGGTACAATCGCGGCATCCGGTCCTACACTCCCAGTGTGAGTACTGCTCGCGCGCGCACTTGCACATGTAATCATGATCTATTGGACAGTGAGAGCGGCACGGGTTTTGCATGTCCTCGCTGTCAAGGGGCGCAAAGTCCGTGTCGTAGGCAAGCAAGAATGTGGACTCGAGCACCAAGCAGTCACTGCATGTTTCACATCGGTGTAGCACCACGTGCACGTCGGGCAACGGCAAGTATACCTCCTCAGCTCCTGTCACGGGCACGATCTCCAGAAGCTTGTGTGTGTCGGCCGTTGTGAGAGGCTCTTGCAGGTGGAGGCGCTCAAGCATGCGCCGTGCAATCGTCTCCGATAGCTCAAACCTGCGCCGCGTTACCTGCCCGTATGCGTTGGGGGCGATTGCCTCCCGGCCGAGCTCGTAACGCGCATCCGGGTGCGGAGGCAGCAGCCGCACCCACGAGCCCACGCGCACGTCGCCTCCCGCCATCGCCTCGACATGCTCCGGCAGCGCATATGTCTGCCGCTTGACGAGGTAAAAGCTCTCGCCCTCGAGTCCCCAATGCTGCCATGGATGAAAGGCGACGACAGTGCCTAAGTGGTTCATGGCTCGATCAGGCTCGTCCTCCAAGTTGCTGCCGTGGTGCATGTCCACGAGCTGCCCGACGCTCGGCCACGGCTCCACCGCGTACGGCGAGAGCAGCACCGGCTTCTCATCCTCGCTCCCGTCGAGCAGCACTTGGTGGTGGTGCTTTGGCTCCGTGATTGCCACGCGGCCCGAGGCGTCAAGCTCCAGGCTCATGATGTGCCGCGGGTCGTTTGGCACCGGGTCGGGGAAGCACAGCTGGCCGCGCTCCAGCATGGTGCCGCACTGCCCAGCAAGTTCTCCCTCAGATACACGCACGCGCTGGGGCACGAACAGGAAGCGCTCGCCGAGCAGCCGCTGCTCCTCGCGCTGGCGGATGGAGGCAAAGCTCTCGCCAAGTGGCGGGCGCGCCTTCTCCCTGGCTTGGCGGCGGTGCTGACTGACGACTTGGCGGCGGCGGTTGGCATCAGCCTTCTTGGCCTCGGTGCCCGCCTTCTTGCGCTTGGCCGCCCCGCTCTCATACTGCCGCTCGCTGCGCTCCCTCGGCTGCCTGTTCTTCTCGTGCTGTTGCCGCTGCCTCTTCGCCCGCTCCTTCATGATCGCAGCACGTGCGGTCCTCTCCTCCTCGCTCGCATCTGCCGACAGCTTGGGCGGCGGCGGCTGGTCGGGGTCGGCGTGGTCGATCGAGCCACTGACGCTCGAGTCAGCCATCCAGCCAATGGATCGCGAGCACCACTTTTTTCGGGGTGGCCCTGGCACTCGTGTCGGCTGTATGTGTCTATGTACGTGCGAAGAATTAATGTAGGGGGTGGGTACCATACGAAGTAAACTTCTCCTTTGTACGATAAAAAAACGACCCTTGATGTTCGCGGCAAATCTGCCCCCATCGGCTTGTGCGTGAGATATATGGCTCCTCGTGCCGGGCTCGCGCTGCCCGGGGGCGGCATCTTCTTCTGGTGGCAGGCCGGCGCTCTGCACGAGCTCTCCTCGCGCTACCGGCTGAGCGAGGTGCCGGTGGTCGGCGCGTCGGCGGGCGCCCTCGCCGCAACGATCGGCGCCACCGGCGTGGACGTCCCAACCGCCTTTGAGCTCGCCGCGTCGCTCGCCGAGCGGAGCGGCGCGTGGGAGCGCGGCGCGTGGGGCCTGGTGGGCGTCTGGGGGCCGATGATCCGCGAGTGGCTGGACGAGCTGCTGCCCGCCGACGCTGACGAGCAGTGCCGCGGCCGGGTGCACATCCTTGTGAAGCGGGCGCCGCGGCTCCGCGCGCCCCGCTTCGAGCCGCTGCTTCTCTCCGACTACCGCGACCGAGACGACCTGATCGACGTCAACATGGCGTCGGCACACCTCCCGCTATTCATCGATGGGCACTGGACCGCGCGAGTGAGAGGCATGCGCTGCGTCGACGGCACCCTCTCGCTGCGCAAGACCTCGGCGGAGAGGCGCGTCGTGCTCCCGGGCGGCGCGGCGGCCGTCCGCCTCGACTCGGCGGCCGACGCGCGGATGCGCGCGCGGTACTCGAGGCGGGAGGACTTTGTGCGACTGGCGAGCCGCGACGGTGTGGCGGAGATGATGGAGTGGGGGATGGCGCACGCGCGAGAGATGGAGCGGAGGGGCGAGTTGGAGGCCCTCGAGCCTTTCAGGCTGCCGTGACGCAGAGCGACTCGTACCTGTGCACCTGGGGTGGAGGTCACATTTATTTTTTCTCACACCATGTGTGCAACCCGCACAGGCTGTGGCCGCTTTCTGCTGTAAGCCGAAAACCAAAATTCTAAAAAGAAAAGAAACACACAAAACTTCTTACATGTTGTGGTTATGACCGCGCAAGATATAAAGGGTGGCTAAGGGCTCTGCCCGCAAGGCGCCCGCGTCGCAGACGCGGTACCATATTGACAAATCTGCAATATAACCCCACACGAACAAATAGCAAAATCCGAATACCGTGCAGAAACCATGTGATCTCTCAGCCGAGGACGGGGGCAAGTCTTCAGCTGGTGCTAAGACATTCGTAAAATTGAAGCCAAGAACGTCCGCCAAATCCGTGCTAGTGAAACTAGCTGATCGAGCCCATCATGATTATGGAGAAGTCTGTCCGCGCCTAAGGATTCTGCCTTTCCTATATTCTGCTCTACCTCTCACCAGATTCCCCTTCCCAGGTTCCTCTTCTGCTCAGATATTCTGATTCTCTTCCCAGACTCTCCCATCTTGGCCCCGCTTTCAGCTTCCTGATTCTCCATTCTCGTTTCCTCCGCTTCCTTTCCGATTCTTCTGGGGCAGCCAGAGCCAATTCCTGATTCTGCTCCCCCCTCCCGATTCTCCTCTCCCTCTTCCTATTCAATACGGTATTTGGCTATTCTTGATGCTCCATTTGATTCCTGATTCCTGATTCCTGATTTGTCGGCTCGCCCACATTTTGGACCTGGATTCCGATTCCTGATTCCTGATTCCTGATTCCTCGGAGTCACGCATTTCGGCGCGTGAAGTTCAAATAGGGACAGTTCCATATACACGTGCGGGTCGACGTGCGTCTTCTTGTTACATATATTTCCGGGCTTATCACCGACCGGGTTAATACTAACCCTACCTTTTCTATTCTATCGGCTCGCTGCGCTCGCTCTAAAAACGAGCACGCTGGGGCTGCGCCCCATCTCGCCTGTCTACACGTTCACCTTTTGACCGGTATTCTGATTCCTGATTCCTGATTCCTGATTCCTCGGAGTCACGCATTTCGGCGCGTGAAGGGTGAAGTTCAAATAGGGACTCGAAATAGGGACAGTTCCATACACACGTGTGCGTCTTGTTACATATATTTCCGGGCTTATCACCGACCGGGTTAAGACTAACCCTACCTTTTCTATTCTATCGGCTCGCTCGTGCGCTCGCTCTAAAAACGAGTTCTCTGGGGCTGCGCCCCATCTCGCCTGTCTCACGTTCTAGCACAAGCACCCAGCACGAGAGACAGCAGCCTACCCGTTCTACACCCACACCGCCGCGGAGCTGCCTAGCTGGCGGGTGCATTCTGACAGCACCAACGACCTTGCGCGGTCGCCGCAGGCCGGCGCCAAGCTGCATTCTGACGCCAGCATGCCGTTCAAACCCCGGCACCAGGCGCCCGCGGGAATATCGCTGGGAGACCGCCTGGCCAGAATTCAGATCGGCCGCGCACTGCTCTGCCTCCAACATGCCACCGCCTTTTAGCTCTCTGACGCACGTGTGATGAGCCGCCGTTCAAAAGAGAAAAGTGACTGTACTGTGCTGAGCGCGGAGCGCACTTCGATGGCAAAGTGGGTGGCGCGGAGGATACGGCGCGTACGGCTTTACACAGGAAGCGTGAGAGCGTGAGTGGATACCGCCCCTCGACGGGCAAAAACAAGCTAAAACAGGAAAAGGAATCACAGCGCTATGAATTTAGCTGCGCAGGAACAGATCCCAACTGTTCACAGTGGGAATGAGAGAGAGTCGTCTC